ATTTTGGGTACTTAAACAGTATTTGCTCCATCTCTCTTCAACTTATAGACTGGAAATTCAGAAATGCACGGGGATTTTATTCACCACATGTATCTGGCCCCTCCACACTGAGCCAGGCAGATGGTCAAATATTCTTTGCAGGAGTGAGTGAAATAAGTTGACTTTTTGGCAACAGGCAAAATGCTGCCCTGGCAAGCCCAGAATCTCATTTCTACAGAGCTGTCAGTGAGAGATAGAGCACTTTCTCGAGGAGGCTTGGAATACACATACTGGCTGGTGGAAGTCTTCGGGATGGCTTTGATTTGGGACTGTTCTCTCACCATGCTCTTAGAGATCAGCCCTTTAGTGGCATCTGAGGTAAAAAAATCTGAAGATTATGACTACCTTAAAAATGAAGTCTGGGGGCCAGGGAGATGGCTCAGTAGAATAAGTGTTTCCCTGGCAAGCACAAGGGTCTGAGTTCAATCCCTGGTTCTGAAAAAAAAAAAAAAAAAATTCCTGGGCTGGCCAAATAGCTCAGTGGATTAAAGTGCCTGCAAGCAGGCACAGGGGCTACAGGTTCAATCCTGGGCCTGCTGTCCCTGCCCACCCCCAGGGAACACTGAGACAGCAATCGGGGGAGGTAGCATGTGTCTGTAATCCCAGCTCTTGGGAGACTGTAAACAGATGGATCACTATGAGTCTGATCTAGTAGTGAGACCCGGAATACCCTGTAAACCCTTAAAAAAAAAAAAAAAAAAAATTCTTGCTTTATTTTGAAAAGTGTGTGCGCGCGCGCACACACACACACACACACACACACACACACTACCACCACCAGTGTTTGTAGGTGGCCTAAATACATGTATTTGGTTCAAAATTTGATTTTGCATCTGTAATAATTACCAAATACTATTTATAAGATGAGTAATACTTACAAACTTTTTTTTGGGTATTTTAGGGAAGGGTCTACAGGGTGTTCAGGGTCTCACTCTAGGGGTGCTGGCGTGTGCCCCAGGGGAAGGGCTGGCATGATAGGCCCCTGCGCCTGAGGAGCTTTCATGTGCTGAGTTATTTGGCCAGCCCTTGCAAACTCATTTCAAGATGAGTCAGAATTCTACTTTTTTGCTTTTGCTCCCCAGTGGAAGGACCTTGGGCATATCACTTAGCTTTTCTAAAATTCAGTTTCTTCACTCAAAAAAAAAAAAAAAAAAAAAAAAAGCCCACACAGCACTTTCTGATAGTGCCTGACACACAGTAGTCATTTTATACATGATTATAGAATATAAAAAATCTTAGATTGCTTAATGTGAGAGAAAGAACTCTAGGCTGAGGATTTGTAAACTTGTGTTCAGATTTTAGCCCTACCAGTCATAATTTGGGGGTGACCACAGATAAATCACATCAGCTCTGAGCTTTAGTACCTTCATCTGCACAAGGCTGCAAGTTGGCCCACGCTGCCTCAACCTTTTTCTGATGGATTAAATAAGACAGCAATGTAGAAGTACTATGTAAACTAAATCAGCATATACTGTAGACAAATCTTTAAAATCACGGTGCTTCCTCGGATAAGCAGCTTGGCTGTGATTGTACGTTAAAGAAAGGCAGGTGTAGGGTGCAGACAGCTCAAAAGTCAAACAGCTCCAAGATGGGAAATAAAAATGTTGATGTCAGTGTCTAAGACTCAGTGAAATTCAACAGTATCCTAGCGTCTTAGCTGGTTTGCTATGTTAAAAAGGCAAGCAGCAAAACTACAAAAAATCAAAGCATTCACTAAGTGCTTTTTCCAGATCATATGTTCAATATCCTTGAATGTTGGGTAGTAGTCTAGAACTCATCTTCCAAGGGTCCTCATGGAAGGTAAGCACTACCTTGAAACACAGAGTTCCTGTGCGTCTGACACATGGAGTTCACGTCATGCTGAAGTTATGTGCACATTCATGTGAATTAATCTATTTAACGTGATCTCTCCTTTGGTGTAGGAAATGAGCCTGACTTCTTTACAGGGTAATTATAACTTTAAAGACTCTTGTATATTTAGTGAATATTAAGTTTCCATAGGACACTGGGCATAGAGCACTGTCATATTTTTGTGTCATTTATTCACAGATATAGAATACGTCATCACTGTGGAAAATGATCCGCTTGTGGTAGACTCACCTGGGCCCTCTATGACTCTTTCCCGCTTGGGATCTGGGTAACACATGACTGAACAAGGTGCTCCACTTTTAGGGGTATACTAAAGCCGACAGAGCTCTCATCTACAGTTCATTTATCTCTCAAGAGTTGATAAGCTAAACTAATTTAAGACAGCATGCTTAGTGTTTTAAGAAATGCATATATGTGTATATATAACATATATGTGATCCATTCAGTGAGTTCATTCTAGACATTTCTATGCTGATGACGTCCTTAATTTTGTCTTTCGTGCCTCTCATCCAGCAGCAAGCCAGTCATGCCAGCAGCGCTCCCCTCAGCCGTCGCTGCTGCCCAGCTGGTATCTACAGAGCTCTCTTCACCACGTCTTCCATCACCCCTGCTGCCCCTCCAGTCCATTCTCCACCCGCATCTGGAGTAAGTGGCGGCGAGTGCCGCTGGGTCACAGCCCACCCTTGCCTTCAAGGCCTGCGGGAGTTGCTTGTTTAAACCCCTTTTATGGAGAAGACCAAAATCCAAATTCCCTCCCACTGACACTCAGCCCCACTTCACACGAACCTCCTGCCTCCTCGGACCTGGGTGAAGTCTCCAGTAAAGCCATTATTGAGAAGGTGGCCCCCCAGGCAATTTGTTAAGAGTCTGGATCTTCCTTCTGCGAATTTCAGCAATCTCCTTAACCATCACAGGCCTGTCCCCAATCTGTTCATGGTGTGCACCCAGGAGAGGCAGCATGAGAATTAAGGTGGGTGCAGAAAACACACGCGAAACTGTGTGAGGACTATTTCCACAGTATGTGCTGTTCTCAATGTTCGTAAATAACTGTGTGATTGATTAGTTGTACTTGACTATTCTTTATTTATTTATTTTTTTAAGTTCAAGGTTTTTTTTTTTTTTTTTTT